TCTCTCATTCCCTGGTGTGTCCTCCAGCGAGTCAGATCACAGTCAGCCCTGATACAGGCTTTGTTGTAGGGTTGCTCCTCAGGGCAAGTTGCCCTTGGACACATGGATCCCAGTGCTGGCCAGCCCTAAAGGCTTCACTGTGCTTGGCAAGGGCATAGCCATCACCTTTCATGAGGCTTGGGGTTTCTTCCACTTGCCTGCATCTGCACCCCTGTGGGTGCCTTCCCTTGCTGCTGCAGGATCTGTGTACCACAGCCAGGCTGAAACCATCGCCTTATCATCCCCCTTGTCCCAACTTAACCATGCGTGCCTGCAAAGTCTGTGTTCTGCTCTAGAAAGCATGTCCCCAGAGAAACAGAATTCATCTCAACGACCTCACACCCAGTCTCAGAGATCAGTCATCTGATAATGAACCAAAAAATTGTTCATATACATCTCTGAAGTCCCCATGCTTCTCTGTTGCAGCCAAATTACTCAAGAGTATTTGCCAATCTTTTAGCACACAGCTTCTCATTCTGCTGCACCCCAGAACGCTGTTCTTTAGCAAAGACGTGTATTAAGGGGAATTAATTAATTAGGTTAACTGTCTGGATAATCCATTTTCTTGGTATAAATTGAGTAGTGATGGAAGAATGTTGTTGATCCTCTGCTTTCCCCTCACAGAGATTAAAAATAGAAGAATAACTAGATGGAGAATTTGGGATGGGATCATATTCTTTCTGAAAATAGAGTTATGGCAACATCAGAAAATGGGGTGAACGTTGCTTGGATTTAATTTCCTAAGTGTACTAGGAAAGTTGATGTGAAAACATCCTGATTTAGAGATCTTTGATCAAGAGAAGGGAAATGTTTCATTCTGAAGTAACTTTTCATTTAGACATTTAAAGAATGGGAAAATCAAGGGCAAAAATCTGAGGAAAATATTTTGTGTTAAACCAAAAAAATTTACAATGAACAGGCTTTGTTTGCTGTGCTGTTTGTTGGGGGATATTTTTTAAATTTTCCTCTATGGAACAGTTTAATACCTTGGTGTCTCTCAGCCCCTTGTGGAAGTTTCTCCCTACCCCTTCCATGCTAGTAATGATTTTTGCTGCCTTTTTAGCCCCAGATGAAAGACCAGAAACATGCCAAGTTTTGTGTTTCTCTGTCTTGATCCTGCCAGTGTTTTTCTGGCTCTGGTATTCAGCAAAGCATGCCCCAAATAATGACCCCGCAGATGATTGGCACCCCACACTGGACTGTAATGTTAAGCCAGAGGAAACCCTCTGGGCTTTATGAAGAAATTATATCTCTGTTTTTTCCTTAGATTGCAATTTTTTTTTTTACAATGGTGGATCCACTTTATTAGCAACCAAATACTTCCTTTAATTGGCATCCTGCCCCATGCCTCCTGAATGACTGATTTGACTACAAATTGCTCAGACTCTGTGATTTATTTTTCATCTCATTTATTGCAGGCATGAATACAGGAACAGGTAAACAGCTGAGCCGTAAAAGTTTCTCTTTAGGCAGGTTTTCAACAAAATGCCATCATACACTGTCTGATGATACACGCTGCTACTCAGATGAAACAAAATAGTTCGAGCAGTCTTATGCTAAAGCTGCTACCCACCAGTCAAAGCTGCAGCTGCCAAAAAAGCCTTCTCCTCCACTTACTCTCTATCATCTTCCCTCCTTCTCCATGTCATCTACAGCTTCTTTTACGGCACTTAACTTTACAAAACACAGTTGTGAGGCTAATCTTACATGCAATCACAGATCAGTCTCAGTATATTTATTGCAAACTCCTTGAACATCAGGACATTAAAAAAAAAAAAGAAAGAAAAATAATAAAAAAAGAAAAAGTCCCATTGCAAAATTACAAGTAGGTTTTTGTAGCAAATGAACCAGAAATGTATTCAGAAAAAAATAAATAAATAAAACCAAAAACTATTTGTAAACAGTTCAAACAAAACATGATACTACCTCCAATGAAACATTTCACTGCATTGCCAGCTCTGTTTCAAATGGGCACGTAGGCATCCTGTTGCAAGAGAGTATTGAAGCCACAAATGGAAACCTTGGAGGAGTTAATTTTCAAATTTTGCACTTCCAGGGTCTATGAAACATGAAAAATCTGCACATACCATGGGATCTGAGAGAGTTGTGGTATCTCAAATAACATTTCTAAAGAAAAACCCAGTTATTACTTTTAAAACAAAACAGTGTAAACAGCTGAAACACGCAAAAGAAAAGCACAATTGGTTGGCTTCCATAAGAGACTGCAATATGAGAAAATATTTAACTCCTTGCATAGCTATTTAAATGGCCAATAAATTTTGCTGGAATCACCCAAACATGACAACATTGCATTCTGCCGCTTAGAGACTTCACACTGAAAAGCTGGGATCTGCTGACTGGATCAGAGCACCACCTGGGGCACTGTTAAAAGCCAGGGCCACCTCTGATAGGCTTTGCCAGCGTGGCTGTAGCAGGAGCTTTCATCAACCAACTACTCCCAGATGGAGCACAACTATAGGGAAGCCTCTGTGTTTATGTCACTGCAAGTTGTTACCCCAGCATTCTGTTCTCCCATAAGGGATAAAAGCTGTTCAGAAAACAGGATATTTCTGGTAGTATATTTACACCTAACGCGCAAGGCTTTTGCTGGCAGAGCTATGTCGATCACAAATTATACTCCAAAGCTCAACCCTGGATGATGCAGCTGTGTCAGCAAGGGTTTGCAATGTAGGCCTAACCAGTGGGATGGAAAGCAGGATTCATCTCACTTAACTTTAATCAATATAAAGGTAGACATTTAAGTCAGAGGCACCACCGGAAGACAGTTCCTTTAATCTCTCATGAGGTGAGAGCTGGGCATTTTAATGTTAGATGAGATGAGCCCTGTCCCAGGAGAGCTGAAGAGAGAAACTCCTTTCAGCTACCCTTTCCTATCACCAACTCTGGAGACCATGCTTCAGAAGGCTGCTGTTCAAATGCGTTATCTTTACACATGTCAATGTACGTGATAATGATAGCCTGTGCTGGGCTTCATGCTGCCACAACTACATATGCAAGCTCATTAAAGCTAGCTCAGATACTTCTGCGCTATTATATAGACATACCCTCTGGCAGAGTATCCTTTAACACCTGTAAAGTTAAATTGTAGGGGCAAATCTAGACTATCTGCCCCTCTGCAATATGTTCATGTTGGCATTGTCTTGTTTACAGTAGCTTTGGGTAACAGGTGTTGTAACACTGTAATTCCCAAATGGAGGTGAGGCAGGAGTGTTTCTTCAGAGGATGTGAAAACTGAGACGCTGAAGCATGGCTGAAGAAGGTACATAGTAAGAAAGAACAAGGTGATGACATTCCACAGTTAAAAGTTTAGTTTGTTATCAGTAAAACAGTTTTAATAAAGCTCCATTAGACTGCTGAATAGGAAATGGTGGCAGCCAGTGGATAAGACACTAAACAAGACAAGGCAACGTACTTGGGGTTGTTCTGTAGAAAACGTCCCACAGAAACTAAGCAGCCACATGAGCCTGTCCCTCTTCTCCTAGTGAGAACCAAAGAAGGAGGAGTCCCTGTTCTTCCTCAGCTATCCCAGAGCATGCCTCAGCTATGAAGACAGCCACGTAAAGTAACCGTGGTTCATGTTTTTTGTTTTCCAGTTCTGACTATTTCAGTTGAAGAATTTTTATACAATGGAACAAAACTGCTGCCTTTAAAATAATAAACTAATAGACTCTTTATGAACCATGTTTATATTTATGGGCTGGTCTGAATCAGCTATTCAGTTTTGCTAAAGGCTTTTGTTTATGTGTCCAGACTGTCCTAACATGGGTAATTGGATTTGTTTTGCCCCCAAAACTGAAGGCATATTGTGGGGTTCCCGAAGTCCACTCCATGACAATCAGTATGACTGAAGGGTGTGTTCTGATCTAGTTTTTTGTGGTTTGACAATGACTTTGTGAAGCTGTTGCCAGTTCAAACACAACCAGGGATTGCCTAACAGGCAAAAGACCAGATTCAGCTAGAGTCAGCACTGTACCGTTCTCAACTTTACTGTGTTTTCCTATCCCAAACCAGCATTTCTAATTACAATTTTCTTTTACTTGTTCTTCAGAATGCTCACTCTCCCTTGGACGCGGGTAAAATGTGCTGCTGCTTTTCCTTCACCAACACCTTTGAGAAGCGGTGAGAAAAGAGTAACAGGACATGGAAGTTGAAGTCTTTTATGTCTATGTATTTCCCCCTCCTTTCTGATTTCTTCACAGGGATTTAATGTTCCTAATCAATTTTTAAGAACCTTGGACTGATGGAGTGGTGCATTAAAACATGAGGGACAGAAGTGTCCTGGCACTGCAACTAGAGGGTGGACAGCATACAAGTAATATCTGATTACCCAGAAAAGTCACCTTAGTGTTCTAAAATCTGTAGTTCAGGTTTATTTCTGTGGCTCCTTGTGCCCACTCCCTAAGTTGAGCCACTTGATTAAATTTGTCTTGTGATTTTCTACCTAACACTTGTGCTGTATATTTTTAACAAATTTATGGCAACCAGAAGTTTTTGAGTTTGGTGGATTTAAATGGGAAGCCTAATGCTAATTTCTTGTCCCAGTAAACATAAAATAGGCAAGTAATTTTATACCTTCACATCTCAATCCACAGTCCTATGAAGCTCTCAACAACCCTCATTTCAGAAAACAGCAGAAGCCAACTCTGAAGGAAACCCAGTCTCACAGCAATCACTTCCCGGCCTCCACACAAACAAACTGCTTAAGCTGAGATAAAGCCATCGTAATCAGTGCCAAATGAAGGGCAATCTTTATCTTAATACAAATAAGAGAACATGGTGTACAGAGTAACAGAAGAATATACATCTTCAGCCATACAAAATGCACAAAAGCTTTCCTGCTGAAAGAGTACCTTGTAGCTGACAGTCAGATGTTAGTTTTCTAGATGACTCCACACTACTGAACAAGGGAAAACAGAATTTCACCACCCCCCTCCCCCAATTAGGAAATAGAGGGTAGCATTATCTGTATACCATAAACTCCCTCCCTGCGGCTGCAGTTCTCCTAGTGCTGGACCACCCACCCCACCTCATGCCTGAAATACCTCCACTGGACGTAGAGGCTGCTTGTGTGTTGGAGGTGAAATATAGCCAGGTGTACCCTCCACAGGTTTGCCAGGACATATGTGTTGATTAGTAGAGCAAAAAAAATTGGGTATAGGCAAGCTATGCCATAAACTATCATTGTTCTTGTTCTTTAAAGTGATCAAACAATTTGTGTCAGTCAGGTTTATTTACCTGGGAAGGAAAAAATTCTACCTGTGTGAGTTATGCCCATACTGCTGAGGCTCTGCAACCTTCAGTGCTGGGGCAGAAGAGGTCTGAGCGTGGGCAAGCCCTAATGCCTAAGCAGACTGGAGAAGGTAAAACCCCTCACTTACTTTAAAAAAGTCAGTACCAAGCTAGAAAGTCAGTAGTAAATTGCTTTAAACAACTGATTTTTTTTTTTCATTAATGGAAATACAGTAAGATTTAGTTGAAGGTTTAGGTCAAGATGACAAACTATAGGGAGTATTGGGTGTGTATATCTGTATGGTGGGGTGTCTTTCCCCTTTGCAGCTATTTATATCTCTGAGTGAAGGTTAAGGTTAGGAATTTAATAAGACAGCCGTTTATTCTGTGGAGACTAACAGTCCTGGGGTTAGGATGTAATAATCATTCTTCTGCTTTAAAAATGGTTCTTTAACAAATAGCAGTAGCTCATTGCAATTTTCAGTTGTACAAAATGACATATTTTCTATGTTACTATCAAAATATTCTGCATAACATTAATTTCTGTGCACTTATTAACATATGTACAGAACAGTGTTTCCCAATAGAAATCAGTATGCTCCTTGCTGATCCTTTTTTGCCCTAGATTTACCAAAACCAAACCAGAAATTAATTGTGTTAATAGTATAAAATCTCAGGAGAGATAAAGGATTGAAGGTTTATTTCCCAGCAGCAAATGAATAAAGGAACTCCTTCAAGTTAAAGTCTAGCTGAGACGTAACTTTAACCAACCATGGCGAATCCAGGCGAGCCAGGAATATCACACATTTTCCCGATGCATTATGTTGAGTACACAGAAGCAGAGGAATGTAAACAGACAGAAGGCACATGAAAGGCCCCAATCCATTCTCCATCTGACGGAAGTGCGAATTTCATAATTCTGTCATCAAGAGTCTTTTCATCATTTTCTCTCTCTCAAGTTCACGCCTCAGAGTCTCAGCGCTGTGTAATTAATGCACAAACAGCCAATTATGGGAACAACAATAAGTCTTAGATTTCAATTTAAAATAATTAACATTTTCAAAATACCAAAGGAGGGGAAAAAAAGGTCAGACTCAATTCAGTGAAAAAGCTGATAACCGATGGCTGATTTAAAAACAAGCACCACTTGATATTTCTGAAGAGCAAATAGAGGCAAGAAAAAGGACATAAAAAGATCCACATGGCAAAACAATTTAGGATTTTATCTAAACCCCATTAAAGGCAACTGATTTCAAAGGAAGCTGGACTAGGACTCTAAAAATGAAACAGTTACAGCAAATGCCATCATGAAATACTGCTGTTACAGCCTTCTGCTCCTTGGCATGGTCAGATATTGGGGGACATCTATATATGCTGAATTTACCACAGTCCTGCACATACCAGGGTGTGGGAGTCAGAGCCTAAAGTCCTTGCTCTCACATGCTAATTCACTCCAGAGCACACAGGCTCTGTAACACTGGGAATGCCCTGGATTAGAGATGCCATTTCTGAAACTGTTTGCTCTGTTGTTCTGAAAATTAGGTATCTAACACTGGTAAAACAGTTTGGAGATTTAACTGCAGTGCAGAGACCTTGCAGCCCATTCATGGACATGCAGGTGTAGGATTACCCACTTGTGCTTGAGACATCCTACAGAAGCTAAGTTCAGCACTACAGCTTCAGAATTACTTTTTCACTAGAAAGAGAAATTTTTAGATGAGTTAGCAGTGTTGAACAAGTGTGCAGGTGCAATTAGCCAACATCTACAAAAAATAATTAACAACCAGACATGGGAACTGACTGTGAATCCAAAATTTAAAAAGATTCATTTATTATGATGCCAAAGAAATACTTTTCAACATAAGCCTCAGATTATTTGTGCTCCAGAAGTACTGAGTATATCCACTCATACATTTGGGTCTGTAAATTATCAGCCTGCAAAATTCAGCTTTTATTAAATTCCAGAATAAGAAGCTAGCATGCAAAACCAATAGGATGAAAGAACAGAAAACTGAAAACAGTCTGTCTGTGGAAAGATGGATAGGTTGCTGTTTCTCTGAGAAACTACAAGAAAGACCACTGTAGTTTGACATCATTAAAAAAGAAAAAGAAAAAAAAAAGGGGAACAAGAAAGAAAACAAAGGCCTGTTTTTCATTTAGAAGAACAGACATTTCTCAACCTCAGCTTTCCCTCACAGACATTTAATTTCAAAAAACAAATTGCAACAGCAATTATTAAAACAAAACCTTTGTGGTTCAGACAAAATGACTTGCCTGAGCAAAATCTGCACAACCCTTTCTCTCCAGGCCATAAGCCATAGAAATGGCTGCTGACTGCAGCAGCTGATTAAGGTAGTATTTTTTTTTCGCAGAGCAGATATGAGTTACAGGTATTTCTTTACATAACCCACAAGCAGCAATCTTTCAGTATGGAAGGAAATGACACTTCAAGGTAAATATGACAGAAAAAGGGAAATCAAGCTGATTCCTTTAATGCAGAGAGCATCATAGTATTTCTGTGGAGGAACTTTACAATACCTGTCTGCCAGCGAAATCGGTTTATGCGACGTATATACTGTCTGGACCGTTGGAGTGGGTACAGTCTCTGCCAAGGACCTCAGCACAGGTGATGGAGTTACCAGCGTTATCTTAGGTGATGACTGCACCGCACAGCACTGCATTTTGCTGTCTGCAAATTCTGCCTACAAAAAAAAAAAAAAAAAAAAAAAAAAAAAAAAAAAAAAAAAAAAAAAAAAAAAAAAAAAAAAAAAAAAAAAAAAAAAAAAAAAAAAAAAAAAAAAAAAAAAAAAAAAAAAAAAAAAAAAAAAAGGAAAATACACATACACAAAGGAAAAAGGTGTAGATTAGCTTCTACTGGTCTTGCTATCCTTTACTATCCAGTTTGTTGCCAAAGAGTAACAACAACTAATAAAGAGAACAAATGGGAGGCTGTACTGTAGCTATAACTTCTCAATGAGATCTCTGTAGATACTGAACAGTCACTTTTGATGCCCGAGGGACAAGTCTGATTGCAACATGCACTATGTGAGATGACACTGCATGTATGAGGCTGGCAGCGTTCAGGTAAAAGACATAATCAGTTTGGAGAATGACGCTTATCATTATTACATTTTCCCCTAAAAATAATGCAGAATGCTGACAACACGAGATTTCTGGAATATTCTTCAGAAGTCCTATATAATTTGCTGGTAGGTCCTTTGGCTACTCTATGTTTTGTTAACAGCCAGGAGTCTGGGCTTTTAGGAGTCCGGGTTTCCAAGTCTCCATCCCTTTCTCACATTGGCTAACTGGAACATGCCTCAACAGATATTCTTGCAGTATCCAGTGACAGGCAATGTTAAAGCAATATTGGAAGTGCTAATTTAAGACAAACAGCAAGCAACCATCTCCTGTCTTTTAGATGAGGCATATCAGTGCACCAATATTACAGCAAAGACTGGGCTACTTTAAAAACAACAGAGGAGGATCCCTAAAAATCAAACAGCCCTATCTTGTTTTTTGGCATGGACTATTTCTCTTGCAAAACCACAGCAGCTAGTGCCTATGGTGCATGTATGACCCTGAACCGGGAAGAAAACAGAGGAACTGCAGTTAGTGTGTCAGGATCATTAGAACATGTTCCTAGTGGTATCAGCTGCATTTCTTCCTTGCCAACCTTTTCTTCTGAACCTGGTTCAGACTCTAAGGCAGGGAGAAAGGAAAGTCACCATTGTAAGCAAGCAGCTTTTAATTGTTTCTCAAACTCCGCAAGACTCACAGGAGCAATGTAAAACACAAATAGTTTAAACGGGATAATTATTTGAGCCCAGGAAGGAATGGCTGTGTTAGGTTGCTTGATCATTGTCATTTTTACACATCTGATATGCTCCAAAATAACCTCTGCAGTAAAAAAGAATTTCATTAATTCCACAAAATTAGTAAAATGGAAAGTGTAAAACCAACTGAAGAGACTCTCCTTCCAACTCTGGCCAATTATGTGTGTAAATAATGGCTAACACAACCCATTCAGAATTCTCTGTAGTTTGGCTTTTAAAACTCAATCTTACAAGTTGCAGAGATATGAAATTTGATGTTCCTCATACAGGATCCCTGTGCTCCGAGGACTGCCAAATCTTACTTTACGGCCTGAGAAGAAGGCATCACCGTGATGCTGATGTAAACTCTCCTAGCCTTACTGAAATCAGCAGAGTGATGATAAATTACACTTGTTGAAGAATTGTCTGGAGTCCTATGATGTGTTTGCTCTGTATCATTGTTTTACAGCATCATTTTATGTGTATCCGCTTGCACAGTATGCTTAAGCCAAATAATTACCTATTCTAAACAGATATCATTTCATTTATTTAAATCTGTGTGAGTTATACCATCCTGAGAAAGTGACCATCATACTTGCCATTTCTTTATAGAAACCACTGAAATTCAGAGGGTTCCTGGCATGAAGCTTATATTTAAACATACCAGGTAACCAAGTTCTCTAATTTTTCCTCTGATAAAATCAACACGACTGCATATACACCACCAAATTAGAAGCCATACATGAGATATAAATGTCTAAATGTCACTATCCATAATTCTTTTCACACTCAATAACATTTCAATGTTTTCTTCCAAGCAAAAAATAAATAAATAAAAAAAAGTGAAGGGGAAGCAAGGAAAGGAAAAAGAAAAAAAAAGAAGAAAACAAACAAAGAAAAAAGATCAACAAATGTTACCATCTGGGTTTGTGTGTGACTCGTGACTGTTCTACCTGCAAGTCCTACCACTGATTTAAACTCTTCCCTTCCAGCTCCCACCTGTGATGTAACTATCTTCAAGCTCTCGGCAGAGCCCATGCATCAGGATGAACTGAAACTGCTGGGGAGAAGCACATCTCTTTGGGCTGTGATGGAAGGCCATGAAATACAGGACCAAAGCCCAGTTAACCTTACTAATTATTTTCCCATCTTTATGCAGTCCTCCAGGTAGCTGCTTGTTTGCCACAGATGTTTGTGTATAACCAGCAGGAACGTATGGGATCATATGATGGATCACAAACCATTAGGTTTTTATTGTAATGGTGCTTAAAATATTTGTGATCTGGATTCTGCCCCCCATCATGCCCAGGGAAATGGAAATCTATGGGGAGAAGATGGAATTTCAGAAAGATTAGCTTGAATTTTACTTTGCTTCTTCTCTCCCAACAGAACATAACAAAAATTTTAACATTTGAATTTGGGATTTTCTGCAGTATGGAAATTTCTGTAAGTATATTGGTGTATCTTCTGTTTACATTTCGCAGTTCTGTCCCCCGCAATGATGAAAGAATATGTTATATAACCCACCTAAATTTTGTTTTCATCATAACTGTCAGAGACAATAATGAAAAATAATGTCCTGACAATCATTATTAAATAGTGGGAAGAGTATTTTGGAGGCACATCTTTTTTCCTTAGATAAAGTACTACTATGAAAGCCCCAAGCACTGTAATTTTGAGTTAGACTTTATCACAATTGTAGTGTCTGGACTTGGCTGACCTAATGAAATGTTGATGTGACATATTCCTGTGTACTTTTGAATGCATTTAATTAGAGTTCAGCAGTGCCACTTATACAGCTTGGGGAGCCTAACTAACTCTGGCTTTAAAATCCTTATATGGAGAAAAAAACACATTTACATAAAAGGCTGTGATCAGGTTTATTGTGAAAGAAAAGCCTCTTTCTTTAAATCATTAAACGTGGACAGAACCTGCACACGACCTGACAGTGAATGAAGTTACGTATCTCTGATTATATGCCAGATACAGATTGCTGCAATCAGTAAAAGTTAAGGTCAAAGTCTGAAATGCTTCATTTTGCAAACATAATTTAAAAACTTAAGTAATTTTACTGGGGTTAATAAGCAGAGAGTGTTTCTTATAGAGTAGTTAATTTTGTCATACGTATTACAGTCCTACCATTGAAGTAGGACTTAGATTGTATTCGCTTTTTAAATGGTAAAATAACTGTTTTCTGGTTTTATCTAGTTTACCTTACCAAAATCTCTAAGTCACATCTTCTGTGAAAGTTTAACAAGAATCAAATTCAATACTGGATTCAAGTTATTAAGTAAACATGGGAATTTATACAAGGATACCATTGTAGTCATCAACACACTAACTATAATTCTTCCTTAAAATTCAGATGTAAATTCAATGAAAATCAGGGCCCTCTTTGTGATGGCACAGCGGGCAGTTTCAGGCAGGAGGCCATGCAATCGCTAGACAGAGGACTGAGTCTTCCCATTCCCTTACTGCTCCTTGGAAAGATGTTGTGGAGCTTCACAAGTGTCCTCTACAGTCCTGAACAGCACATTTTGGGACCAGCTTCATTAGTTGTGAACCTTGACCTTTAACACTTAGTCCTCTGTCTAGTAAGCAGCAGTGTCTGAATGCAGGCAATATTTTGTATAATGGGAATATTTAATTGATTCATAATCTAATTTTTACTTGGAATTTATCTTTTTTATTTTTGAGGACTACTTAGCACATAGATTTCTGACACTTAAAAATCAGTTGGAATTGTGTTAAAACACAGTTTTTTTAGTTGCACGTTCTACTTACAGAAAACTGTGGTACTGTTGTAAAAGGATCGAAAAAAGGATTAGATGTATCAGCAGGGAATGTCTTTATCTTTAAAAAAGATAAAGAAAAAGATGTTACTTTCAGAGCATAAAAATGTAAAAGAAAAGAAAAAAAGCAGCAAAGCATTGCAACTACAGTGACATATCCAACAAATCAGAGCAGTTCAGCAGTGCTTGGACTAGACCAAAAAAGACCCCTCCAAAAATGCATACAGAAACCTGATGATGAATAATCAAAGCATAAATACGAAAACTTGATAAATTAATTTTACCATGTAATTAAATCTGTTGTGCAAATATGGAGCTGATTGCATACAATACATCCTCTAATTCTGTCAACAGCCATTGGATTATTATCTGCTTCCTTCAGCCAGCATTACATTTTAAAATATGCAATATGAAGTGCAGGAGCAAATTCTGCAGTAGATCGCTAAAGAACTTGTGCTTTACATATTTTAGACTTCCAAAATTTCACTTACACTGTTGTTGCCAAACACAAACTATCACACAAGGTAGGATTGAAAGAAAATCATACATTAAAAAATCACTGGGGACAGCTGTTTGTTTCAGGCAGCTACAAGGCCCTGTGTTGAGAGGAGGGCTGTGGATAAAGGATGACCTTTGGAGGTTTTTTTGAAAAGTGCATGGAGAAACAGAGGCAAGAGACCAAGACATCCATCTGCCGAGAAGTGTGAGAGCTCCCAGGGCTTGGTCCATGAGGATATAGTGTATGGTGTGACCAGACCCTGCTGGAAGTCACTTCTGCCCTTAAAGTAGTTTCAAGCATCAGCTGAAATTAAAAATGTATTAAAAGCAGCAACAATCTCTGTCCCATTTCACTGTGAATGCTGTTTCTCATGATTTTTCTCTTTAGAACGCAGACATTATCCATTCATTCAAAGGGAGGACAAACTAGCAAATAAAGGCAACAGTTTTGAACTGCACTTCATGCTTTCCCTTTGGAAAACCACATTTTTCACCATAAAGGTGTGTTTTTTTACTTTATTTTAGAAACTGCTGTGCATTGGTTTTAATGCATTTCTTCCCCCATAATTTACTAACTACAGCCATATAACTGTTGTTTAATAATGAGGAAAGCTACCCTGAGGGCCCTGAGCCCCTGTAGGCCAAAAGAAAACCTGGAATTATGACATCAAATATAATTAAGTAAATGTATAGTGTTTATTTTGTAAGTAAAATAACAGAGATGTTGGCTTATATGGGTACCAAGGGAAATTAACAACCATCTGTGGGCCCAGTTCTGCAAATGTGGAATTAAGCTTAGCATTAATTGTCAGGCTTCTTACACACAAGGAGTATGGATAGCAAAGCTACAGTTAAGCCAGTAAATAACCTTTTAACCCTTATAAAGGCATTTGTAAGTCAATGACACAGGCGCAAATGAACAAACAACTATGTGAGAGAGAAATTATTTAAAATCACAGTTTTCTATGCAAACATATTAAAGAAAACTTCACAGTCCTTTTATAATCCTATATTCATGTCTGTTAGCAAAGTGTATCCATGTGTACTGTACTGCTGATTGAACCTACTCGTATTGATGCAATAGCTCCTCACAAGTTTATGTTATGTTACACCCAGAGCAAAATCTGTCAACAGGTGTAGCATGTCTCTCTCCTCTGAGAAACAGTAAATACCCATGAGCTCAGGCTGACATTCTCAGGTTATTAAGGGTTTACAATATGATGTTACAGTACTAAGTACATGTGTACTCAGTTACAAATAAAATCTTTGAGCCAAAGGCAAACAGGGATGGGAAACTGGTTGCTCATGTGCAGTATGAGTTTGATATTCTACAGCTGAAATCCCACTTATTTCGCTGGCTAGTCTCACTAAGGAGATGAAGCACAGTTACTAAATGCAGGAAAGAAAAATTAGGCAGAATAATACTCAAGAGTCCACAGAGATTTGGAAGTAGAGGTGCATAACAGGAGTCAGACCTGATTGCGTGCTGTGACACACAGCCATGCAGAATACTCTCTTGTGAAATCAGCACTGCAATCTCTGGATATGCATGAGGCCAGCCTACATATCACAACTTGAAAAGAAACAGTTAATCTGGTTTAGTTTTCAGCGTGAGTCCCTCTCTCAGGGAGCCGTGCTCATTTAATCTTTGGAATAAAACAATTTTGACAAATGAAAAGCTCTCTGTGTTCTAAACCCATCAATTTCCAGTCTTTTAGAGAAACTGAAAACAGATATTAGGGAACAGAGGGGGAATAAACCCGTTCAATTTAAGAGTGACAAACAGAAAAAATCCTGCTCAGCCTTTAGAATTTATTCTTTCTTCTTCTCATCCTTTTTTCCCCTCGCACAACAGACCACTGTGACTCAAATGGCACAACAGAGTTTAGTGGTTTGGCCCAGGCCTTGCTGTGATTGTTGCTGCCAGCTTCCATAGGCAAGGCAAAGAGACAACACTGTTTTTGCCTCCTCAACATTGGCAAGAGGTTCTTAACTATTGATGGCTTGGCTCTTCTGAGTAGGAAGTAGGTACAACATCCTCACCCATACCGGAGGAAAAAAGAACATTCAGAACACTTTTCAGACAGATGATATGCAGGATGGGAAGACAGTAGTGTGAAAAGCACCTGTTAAGCAATTGGTTTATGTGAAACTTCATTTGGAAATTTGAAAGGTCTTTTCACCCAGGAATATACTTTGGCCTAACATGCTGCATGTCCACCATGGCCAGCAGTGTGCTGACAACAGTAGCAGTTGCCAGCCTCTGAGAGATAGAAGAAAACCCTGTGATTCCCACCCCACCACACAAGGAAAGCAGTGTCATATGTGAGTCTCTTCCTAACCCTTGCACTGGGGCTGAGTTTATTGCATGAAATCAAAACTCTCTGAGTAGCTCAGAAAGCAAAACAGCTCCCTGACCAGAACCTAAATGTTATGCATTCCTCACACGGTACACAGCCTCTCTCCCTGCCCTAGGAGGAACACATACCATACCTTTAAATATCTCCTAACTCACATGGCAGAAGCAGACCCTTACATTTTCCAGGGTGATTTCTTCTCCTTCTGTTGCAGCATCAGTTAAAAGATGCCACCTGGGAACTGAGAAAGGAAGAAGAGCAGAGCCTACTCCACCACCTGCTGCAAACCTGCAGTTCCTCCAGCTTCTGGAGACCTTCAGCAGCTTCCAGGCTTTACCCTGGGATGGCACACATAGAGGGAAAAGGAAGAGGGAAGTGGAGGTGGGCAGTTCTGTGCAGACCGCTGTTCTGGGCAGACCACTCTCATGAAGCTGAACTGTAGCTGCTCATGCTAGCAAAACACAGTAGCTGCTAGTGTATGGACAAGAAGCTGAAGTCTGCTGTCTGCTTTGGTGTGAAAGAAAACAAGTAACATCTCTGAAGTTCCTGTCATGGTAGATGGAGCAGCAATTGTGTCCACATTGCAGAGCTGCTCAGATGAGCATGTTCTGGTACAGCCAGGCTCTTCCACTGGAGCAAAAGGGGCTACAGAAATATCATGAGCAACAAGAGGTTAGAGCTGTGCTCTTGATAACAGCACAGACAGGCTTTTAAGCATAAAACTTGATTGCAAGCACACTTGCTCTCTCTGCAGGAGTGAAAACAGTCTTGCAGCCAAAGTCACAACCATAAAACAACCTTTAAGGCAGGTCCCCTAAGTAACTGTCAGGTTGCAGGGGCACAGCATGAAAGGGGAGTGAAGGCATGTGGCGTTCCAGCAGCTCACATGCTGAGGGCTTGTTTCACAACCTCAAATGCCCTTTGCTTGAAAGGTCAGGGTACATTACCATAGCAGAACTACTTTGGACAAGTAGCTCCTTGTCTGGAATATTTAGCTTTGCAAGCTGAGAATTTACTAAGCTTAAAAAACCAGTTGATTCTTAACAAAAAGGAAGAAAGAAAAAAAGAAAAGAATAATACAAAAAGGATCAGAATAGTCTCAGGGAAAATCCAGTGGTCAAGTAATCTTCAAGAAGACAAATTTGAAATTCAGTCAAATGTAACAGTCACACTGATTTTGTGGAAAAATAAGTGAAATTTTATTCCGCTGTGCATAATTTACTGCTTGTACTCACAGATTCTTGTTGCATTATTAACTGTCCATTAAAGTATTATATTTTGGAGGTATTTTTACCACAAAGAATTGACCACACTGACTTTCCTCGATATTTATACTGCAAGGAAGAATGAAGAAGAGTGAAGGAAGAAAAAGGACAAAAAGGCAAGAACCTTCCCCTTTTCTTTGCATTTGTGCAAAGAGTTCTTCTGGATGGAATTTAAAATCTCAGTAAAAACAAATGCTTTCCTGAAACACCTTGTAGATGAGCTAGGAGAAAAAAAAATGTAACTTTCTCATAAAAGCAAATGGAAGTGGAAGCAGACAAAGTACTTTTGTCAAGTTAATTGATATAAACCCAGCTATTTTGGTATCTCTGTCAAAAGGGAATATTACAAATGTTCTTGCTGTGGCAAAAAAAAAAAGTACTTTTGGGAGAAGTGAGCTTAATAAGTTCCCTTACACTTGGAATAGTGTATTCACTGCCCTGGCACAACTTTCTTTCCTTTCACAAAGCTCCAGTAACATTTCCTGGAGCTGACCCTTCAATTCCATACCCTGCACCTTGACTGGAGACATTTATAACATGATGGTGAAAATGTGTGATCTCAGTGGGTTTGCACTGTCACTTTGTTTGCTGGCTGGATGGAAGACAAACTTCAGGCCAAACACTTCACTAGATTCCCGTGCATAGCAGCAAGCAGAGGCAGAGCTACTAACACCTAAAGGGGTGTCATAAATAAGACCCTTAGTATACACATATAGCCAGAGGAATATTCTGTGGTGCTTTATTTAAAAATACATGGTGTAAAATGAATACCATCACATCTATACAGCACAGAGACTTGTTTCTGCTCATCAAATTAGAAAAGGACATCAGCAAAAATTCATTGCACTAGTATTTCCCAGTCCTGAGATTTAAGGTGACTTTAAAAATACCAGATAACCATTAGGCCTGGTTTCCAAAACCAGTGTTATTATTCTGGACTC